TCGTGGTGTTTATAAATGTTTAGATTGTCAGATTATAGATCTAATCCAAGGGTTGAGAATTGGTCTTACGGGTCTCACGAAAAACCATTGGTCTCACATGATCTCAAGTGTGTATATATATATATATATATATATATATATTAAGATCGAGTAATTTTTTTTCTTAATGTATAGATTTTATATATATTAGTTTATTTAGTTCAAGCATTAATTTTCAAAAGTTATAAATAAACTTTAATAATTTATAACCTTTAATTTAAAGGTATCTCCATTAACAAACGAACCTAAATGTTTAATAATTAATATATTGTTTTTAGAAATAAATAAATAATCAACATTTTTAGCAATTTCACACAATTATTATGATTATATATAGTAATTAATTCATTCCATTTTTTATTATCTTTTGTAAAATTATGATGTTTCAGTAACAAGAAAAGTTATGATGAAAAACGTAAGAATAGATGTCCACGTTTAAATCAATTGTAATTGAATGTCTACTCTAATAAAGTACATCAAGATACATCAGATCAATCACCTTCTAAAGTTCAATTTCATGGATGAGCACGAGATTATAAGCGATCAAGGGCTCATATCTTTTCTTATGCTTCTTACACGATCCTTTGCTTGTGGTAAGAAGCGTGAGAAAAGATCTGGACTCTTAATCATCTTTAATCTCAAACTCACCCCATGAATCGCATTTGATACGATGATTGATCCAGTGTATCTATTTTAACGTACATCCAATTGTAGAAATCTCTTCTTAGGTTTCTATCTTATCTCTCTTTCTCCCATAAATCCGACTATATATATATATATATTGTCAAATCGTATAATTAATTAAAATTTCAAAATGTTTTTCCTATATAAATTGCTAGCAATCCTTGGAGTTAAACACAAATTTGTCACAAAAACAACACCATGGAGGTTTTCTCACTGGCCCTTGGGATAACACTAGCCATTTTATACACCGTGGGTTGTTCTCCGGTGACAACCATAGGCACGGCCTCCGGTGCTACATTTGTCGTCGACCTCATCCATCACGATTCCATTCAATCCCCCTTTTACGATTACGGAATGACCTTTTCCCAACGCCTTAGTCGAGCTCTGCAACGCTCTTTCAACAATGCCAAACGTTTCGAATCGAACTCATTGACGTACCAAACCCAAATAATCCCCGATCAAGCGGAGTTTCTCATGAACATTTCGTTCGGAAATCCATCACATCAAGTCTTGGCCATCGCAGATACCGGTAGCGATTTGCCGTGGATACAGTGTAAGCCTTGCATTCAATGCTATAAGCACACAGGTTCGATTTTTAACCCGAAGCTATCTTCGACTTACAAAGCCCTTGGTTGTAAATCAGAGACATGCAAGACCATATCATTGTTTGATAACAATTGCTCATCAACGAAAAACTGTCAGTTTACCTTGAGTTATGGCGACGGATCTTATAGCGTCGGTGATGTCGCTACAGAAACCATCAAATTAGGTGGTCAGCCTCTCCAAGATATCGTTTTCGGATGTTCGTTCCGCAATGGCGGTGTTTTCCGAGAAACCTGGGGTGGCATTATCGGCCTCGGTGGAGGAGACTTCTCTCTTGTGTCACAAATAAGTACTTTAGTGACACCCGAGTTTTCATACTGCCTGATTCCATTCCCGACGGACGATCATTTGTCGAAACTGTCCAGTAAACTGATCTTCGGTGACATTAGTTCCGGGTCACAAGCCGTTTCGACTCCACTCGTCCCAAAATGGCCGCGCACCTTTTACTATGTCACGCTAGAAGGGATCACTGTTGGCGATAGACGACTGAAATACAGCGACTCGACAAACCCCTTAAAGCGGATGCACAAAGGGAACATGATCGTGGATTCGGGTACAATGTTAACAATGTTACCTACGAAACTATACGAAAAAGTCGAGACGGCTATTAAGGAGAATCTTACAGATGTGAGAACTGTTAAAGACCCTCAGAAACAATTGAGTTTGTGTTATCGTGCAAAACGAGTTAAGCACGCCCCTGAAATCACGATGCATTTCGAGGGGGCGGATGTCCCGTTGCTTAGATATAACGTATTTGTGATGGTCAGTAAGCGTATTATGTGTCTAGCGATGGCGCCGAGTTCAGATAACGCGATTTTCGGGAACTTGGCACAAAGTAATTTTTTGGTAGGTTATGATTTAGGAAAGAGAAGTTTGTCGTTTAGGCGTACGGATTGTACGGGGTTGAAGGTGTAAGTGACCGAAAACGATTGTTTTGGAATAAAGATTAATTTGATACTGATATAAGTTGTATTTAATGGGATATTTTTTGATTTTAGAATGTAATTTAAGAAGGCTATGTGATTATTGTGACATATTTAAAATATGTTTTATAAAGAAAACTAATGGTTTAAAAGATTAATTAGTTTTAGAAAATGGAAATACATTAATTGCTTTCTAATTCAATCTTTAGAATTGATTTAAAACAATATATATATAGAGATAATATATTACATGGTCAAACATGAAATTGTATCTCTTTTTAAAGTCAACAAACATTAATTGGATTATGGTAAGAAAATTTGAATTTAATAGAAAAATATTTTTACTTATTTACCTTGTTTGTTTAGTTAAAGATTATAAAGTATTTGAAAAAAAAACTTTTAAAAACTATCTTTTATACATGAAGTATTGTTTATTAATGCATATTACTTAAAAATTAAGATTACAAGTAAGTTTGCATAAATACAACTTATTAAAGCTCTATATTTAAATTCGTGTAACTAACTGCATATAAACATAATCAAATACAAGATAAACATCTCATTTTAAATATAAAAAATCTAAAATATAATTAAGATAATCATTGAGTTCTAACAGAATACTTAATGATTATCTTTATAAAAAATTATGTTATTAAATCTAAATTAAATTATTTTGTTACATTAAATTAAATTATAATAATAATTTTTGAATGAAAGAATTTACACAAAACAAGAACTTTTAAATAACTAATTTGATACTAACATTGATATATTTTTTTTCAAATTTATATTTTATTCAAAAATAAAAACATTATCGTTTTCTAAAAACCACATAAAACATATTATATCGACATAGATAAAGAATAAAATGAAACATTGAAATCGAGATGTGTCTCGATGCATTGCACGAATACCCTTCTATTAGGGGCCGTTTATCAAACACTTATTCGGTAAGTACTTACCGGTAAAATTTAACACTATTATGTACTTATTGGGTAAGATTTTAGACCACCAAAACGACATAGTGTACAATAATTTACCCGGTAAGCGCTTACCGTGGTAAGAGTCGTCGCACTCACTTACCGGGTAAGACTCTTGATCATTGTCTCGCTCTTACCGGGTAAGATTCTTGATCCTTACTATATTCATCCGGTGAGGTAATGTTACTTGTTAAGCACCTACCCGAGTAACAACGTTGGGTAAACGCCCACGGTACATATACTAAAGCTACTTACCAATCCCTTGTGCGCACGACCCCTTATTTCTCTCCTTCTCCTTTCCACGATCGCTGATTTCTCTCTATCTCTACTCCCTCTCGATTCCTCTGGAATCGATCTAATCCTTCCCTCACCACCCACTCTTCAAGGAACACATTATCATCAAGTAGACTGAAGAGGCTGTTTACCCAAATGCTTACTCGGTAAGTGCTTACCTGTAGAAATCAAGATTATAATTTATTTTTATCGATAAGATTGTAGTACATCAAAACAATATCTTATGCAACAATTTACCTGGTAAGCGCTTACCCAGGTAAGAGTTGTCACCCTCACTTACCGGGTAAGACTCTTCATCATAATCATCGCTCTTACCGAGTAAGATTCTTGGTCTTTGCTATGTTGATCCGGTGAGGAAAATTGTCTGGTAAGTACTTACCGGGTAAGCGTTTAATAAACGGTCCCTTACTCTATATGACATTAAGTGCTTATGGCTTGATTTAGCATGAACCCTTTTCACATCCTCTTTATGTTTATGCTTAGTTTGTTAGTTTTAGGCTTTGTGTAATGATTGCTCTAATTGCAGGGGACACATTCTATTGGTTTCTTGATGAGGAATTTCTTAGACAAATGATTGCTGCTCTCAATCCAATTAGCATAAAGTTTGATACTCCTATGCATTTTGTCCAGCAAGTAGTACTTTCAATAGTGTTGAATATATGCTAATGTGGTAGCATCCTAAATCAAGCCATAAGCACTTAATGTCAATCTATTAAGTGAAAGGTTATTGGTTATGTTTGTCCTCCAATGTGAGTGCAATATGATGAGAGGTTATTCCTCTCGGAACAAAAGGATCAAAACTCTCCACATCCCACGATGGATTTACACTCCGAAATGCTCCCAACATAGAAGCCTAATCAAATTGAAGACCTTCAACACTCATACAATTTGTAAGAGCTTTCAATGGAGTGAAGATTCCATAACGGAGCGTAGGTGGTAAGCGGTTATATGTATACGACCTGCTCCTGTCCTGAATCAGCTCGAATTTGGGGCATGTATCTGGAAGGAACTTAAATATAAGAAATTAGCAGTTTTAAATCTGAATTTAAAATCTAAGAATGACTTTTGCTCCTGTATCTTGACAAGCAGACTTAACCCTCAAAAGATGTTGCTGAGATCTTCAAAATTTTCGTGCAATTTACAAATCGACGATTTTGGAAGAGTAAAGTTGCATGGCGTGTGAACCTTGTCATCATACTACCATTGGAGTCGTTACTCATATATGTAGATCTTGACGGTTCAAATCATATTACTCATATATGTAGATCTTGACGGTTCAGTCAGAAAATTGCTTCTATAGATTTTTAACTCGATTATTCTTAGTCTAGGAAAAAGTGTAATGTTCTATAAATAACAAGACTAGCTAATCTTTTGGATTCCTTGTCTGCTTAGTGATATATGTTTTAATTTGTTGCGTATGTTGTAAAGGGGTGAGTTCCGGTGAGAATAAAAGTTACAGTGAGAAGGATAAGACGTGATCTCTACCTTTAGATGCACATTTGAATGAGATGCATCGAGATGCACCGGATCAATCCCCATATCAACGTAATTCATGAGTGAGTTTGAGATTAAAAGTAACCAAGGGTTCAGATCTCTTCTTAACTTCTCACCTTAGCTCTCTTCTCACACGATCCTTTGTCATATTGTAAATATGATCCATTTTGATATTGCACATATGTCGTCTCTCACAGCTGCTGATGTGTGAACACCATGTTCTCGGATTTCTCAATTTCTTATGTCGACACAGTTCACCTTCTTTATCAAACATCAAAACTGCTAATGTCATTTTTGGAGTATCTTTTGGGTGATGTAAACATAATAGACCTATATGTATAAGCTAAAGTACTTTAGAATCAATGCATGATTCCTATGTATGTACATTAAACAACTGAAGAACTTTGTCTTCATAAAATTAATATCGAGAGGGACAATGTATAGAAGAAACATAACATGATTGCTATTTCGAGTTGACAGTTTCAAAATCGAGATCCTTCGTGCAACATCGTGCACGGGTACATAACTGGTTACACGAAATGAACGAGGTTAGAGCATCTTTAACAAAAAAAAATTTAAATTTTTTAAATGGAGAATGGAAAATTAAAATCTCTAAGAAACATTACATTCAAATTTACATATTTTATATTTTAGACATTACAACAGTAAGGGGCCGTTTACCAAACACTTATCCGGTAAGTGCTTACCGGTAAAATTTAACACCATTATTTACTTACCGGACAAGATTTTAGTCCACCAAAACGACATTGTATGCAACAATCCCGGTAAGTGCTTACTGTAGTAAGAGTCGTCGCCCTCACTTACTGGGTAAGACTCTTGGTCCTTGTCTCGTTCTTACCGGGTAAGATTCTTTGTCCTTACCATATTCATCCGATGAGATAATGTTACTTGGTAAGTGCTTATATGTCACAACTTGTGTCACACAATAATACTAGTAAGGAGTATGTAAACCTAAATGCTTGCACAGAAAAAATTACATATGCTTTGATATGATTATTGAATAATCAGAAGTATGAGCAATATCATGTTGATTATTAATTGCTATTCAAGCAGATAATTAGATGTTAAATTTCAGATATACTCTTCCATTGTAGAAATAATAAAGCATCATTTTCACTTTTACACCATCATTTCAGGGATTTCTTAAAATTTGGAGATTTTTACTGTCATTTTTCCATCTTTTTCCATTTAATTTACGTCTGTATCGAAAGTTATGTGTCATCATCAAAAGAAAGTGATTATAAAATAATTTCCAAATATCAAAATTTAACATAACAAACGTTTTATTTTCATAGTAAGCTCATCCAAATTTAAAGGAATTTTTGATTAATGAGAATTACAGATTCATTTACTCTATTTACTGTTGTTCTATTTTTTTTTGTAACACATTATCAACACGTACTCTTTAAAAGACCCTATAATTAACGTATTGATATTGGAAACAAACGAAGGAAGATAACACGTAAGTTTTTTTCTCTTCCCAATTTGTTATTATTATCATTATAAAATAAACAATTTTCTTAAATAATACCATTTAAATCTATACTATATTATAAAGTATTTGACAAAAACTCTTAAAAACCACTTTTTATGCGTAAATTACCGTTTATTAATGCATATTACTTAAAACTCAAGATTGCAAGTAGATTGTGCGTAAGTACGACTTTAAAGCTCTATATCTGAATTCGTGTAACTAACTGCAGATAAACATAATCAAATACAGGATAAATATATCATTTTAAATATAAAAAATCTAAAATATAATTAGGATAATCATTGAGTTCTAACAGAATACTTAATTATTATCTATTAAAATATTTATATTATTAAACCAAAAATAAATTATTTTGTTATTAAACTTAAATTAAATTATAATAATAAGGATAAATTAAATAAATTACATAAAAATGTGAACTTTTAAATAATTGATTTGATATTAACATTGATATATATATATTTTTTTAAATTTTTATTATATTTTTAAATTTATATTTTATCTTCAAAAATAAAATCATTAATGTTTTCTTAAAAACACATGAAATCGTATTATAACATCGACAAAAATAAATAATAAAATAGAACATTAAAACTGAGATGTGTCTTACTGCATTGCACAAGTACTCTTCTAATATATCTTTAATTATAATTTTTTATTTCGTAAATTGTTGGACGCAATTAGTTGATTAATTTAATTTGATCAATA